AAAGCCCAGTGGGGGTTACTATGAGTTGGAATCAACTCGGCAGTGGGTTTTTTGGTTTGTCTCTCCATCACCACCAAACCAAAACCCAAACCAAACCTGCTTCTGACTCATGGTGATCCTATGTGTTTTTTAGAGTAGAACTTCCCCATAGGGTTTTCTTCGCTATAATCTTTAGGAAGCAGGTAGCCAGGCCTTTCGTATTCAGCATCATGGGGGGGGGGGTGTTGGAACTGTCAATGTTTAAGTTAATAGATGAGTGCAAACCCCTCTGCCACCCAGGGAGGAGGAAAGGTAGACACAAGAGACCCAATTTTCAGATGAAGAAAATGAAGTCTTCGGATTTCATAGACCATTCTTTTGAGCACCTGGAGTCCTTGGGTGGTACAAAAGGTTAAATGCTCAGCCGGCTAACCAAAAAGATGGAGGTTCAAATCCACCCAGAGGTGCCTTAGAAGAAAGGCTTGGAGATCTTCTTCTGAAAGATCAGAGTTATTGAAAACCCTACAAAGCACAATCCTGCTCTGACACACGTGGAGTTGCTATGACTCAGAATAAACTCAACGGCAACTATTTTTATTACGTGCCCAAGCATGTGGGGGGCAACATGTCAGCATTATCTCACTTAATCCACACAGAAACTTATAAGGAACATGCCATTATTCTCCTCCATTTATCAGATGCAAGAACTAAGACTTAGAGAGGTCAAGTAACATATGCAAGGCCACACAGCTAGTGAGTAGCATGGCTAGGATCTAAAACCGTTTGTCTCCAAATCTGCTCATGAGCAGTTTGCATGCATCCTTCCTGTGAGTGGAATAGAGAAAGGGAACCACTTTGTGCTGTAGGACCCCCCAAAACTGAAATTAATTCTGCCAGCAAGGGGTGGAAAGGAAGAGTCAAGGCCTTCACTCCTGCTGTTTGCTTTACCCAAAAAGCCTTACACTAGATGACTGCCTTGCTCACTCTCACAAGTCACTCAGATCTCAGCTCCAAGGGCACTTTACCACAAAGATCTTCATTCCAGGACCCCTGAGTCTAAAGTAGATCAACTCCTTCATCCCATCTTTTCCCTACATGCCAGTGCTACTTATATGATGTGTGTATTTATTTACGTATTGTTTGTCTCCAACAAGGATGTAGATCTGTCTTATTCACTGCTGTACCGAGAGCCTAGCACAGTGCCTGGCATATAGTAGTTGCTCAATTAATATCTATTGACTGAAAGCATGAATTACTGAGTGCCCTTTCCCCTAAAATGTGAAAGAAAATGGAACATCTATTATCTGCTAGGCTTGGGGATGAGGGCTGACCCATGCACATTTTTTAAAATTGGCTTTACTTATTTATTTTTGCTGCTGTTATTGAGGATAGACACAGCAGAACATACACTCATTCAACAATTTCTGCACATACAATTCAGTGCAGCCATGGACCATTTCATCCGTAGCTGTCGGACCATTTCATCCGTAGCTTTCAGCCCATTTCACAGATGAGGGAACCAAGGCCCACTCCAGCATCAGGTGTTGACTGATGGTTAAGTGTCAGATAAAGCAATTCATTCAGGGTTGAGCAGCTTGCAGCTGGCAGAGGGAGCATTTGACCAAAGAGGGCTCCAAGTCCAGGGCTCTTTCTAAGAGTATGGGGAGCGGGGAGAGAGGAGGATAAGGATCACAAGTGGGAAGGGGTGCTGATGGCCCCCTGGACCCAGTGAAGCACATTTTCCTTTCTGCCATCGCAGGCAGGCCTCCCCCTCAGCAGTGCGCGGAGCTGGCCACACCCGCGGCCGAGCTGAGTCGGAATTCCTCCCTCCTCCCTCCTCACCCCCGCGACCCCGGAGCCGCCCCGCCGGGCCTCCGCCCCCCGACTGCCCGGAGCGGGCTTCGCCTGCCAAGAGCTCATTCCCAGCAAGTTTTCCAGTGGTAATGACAGGCGAAACGCGGGGCAGCAGGCTGCTGGTGACCTCCGGGTTTCCCCGGACCCCAGCCCGCCAGCCCGGAGCCCCCAGACTCGGGGCGCCCGCAGGCCCCGCGGGTCAGAGGGAACCGGCAATTTCCCGGCCCGCTGCTCCGCAGCCCCGCCGCCAGCTCTGTACTTTGCCTGATGATGGGTTCCCGCCGCCCTAATGACTGGGCGGGCGGCGGGTTCAGGGCGGGCGAAGCCGGCCCAGCCGGTCCCGTGCTCGGCTCTCAGGCGGCCGCCGAGCCTGTGTCATCCACCAGGAATTTCTGTTTTCCCCTCCTCGGGGCTGGAAGAAAAAACAATAATTAGGTCACTGGGCAGGCGGCAGAGAGGGTGTGGGACAGGCCAGTGGCGCCCTGTTGGGCAGGGAAAGGGCTGGAAGGAACGATGGGGAAGGGTAGGCCCCACAGCGCTCTCCCTCCCACGATGTCAGCAAAAGCATCCCTAGCTATTTCCTCTGTTCAGGCACCGTCCATTTATTCCACATCCATTTATAGGGCACCTCTGTGTACCAAATTCTGTGCTAGGTTCTGGGCATCAAGCAGTGAACACAAGAGAAGTAAGGGCCTGTGTTTGTTTGTTTGTTTAAAAAAAGAAAAATGACAAGCAACAACGCAAAGATCACTTAGTGGGAGGATGCTTCTGGGGCAGGAGAGTTGCAGGAGTCCCTGGGTGATGAAAATAAATGTTTAATGCACTTGGCTGCTAACCGAAGGTTTGGAGGTTCAGGTCCACTCAGAAGCCCCTCAGAAGAAAGGCCTGGCAATCTGCTTCTGAAAAACCAGCCATCGAAAGCCCTAGGGAGCACAATCCTACTCGGACACACAGGTGGTTACCCTAAGTCAGAGTTGGAACTGGAATAGATGCCCAGGGAAGGCTTGCCAGAGGAAGTGGCACCTACACGGAGACCAGAAAGAGGATGGGAATTAGCCAGGCCAAGTAGAGGAGGCAGCAGGAAGGGTGTTCCAGGCAAAAGAATAGCATGTGCAAAGGCTTGGAGGTGAGAGGACGTGGCTTCCTACAAGGACTGAAAGTACAGTAGAGAAGCATTCACGTGCATCTTTAATCCTGAGTGTGACTCCTCGGACTAAAGACACATATTTTTGGTCCCATTGCGTGCCTCAACACAAGCCAGATACTTTATCTGATACTCAACTGGAGATAGTCACATGTTCCATGCTGGAGGAAAACTGTGCTGGGCTTACTGAGAGGCACTGAGTCGATGTACTGTTGCCATGGAGGTAATTTCGACTCACAGCGACCCATGTGCACAGAGTACTACTGCTCCATGGGGTTTGCAAGGTAAACCTTTCAGAAGTAGATCGCCAGGCCAGTGTTCCAAGATGCCTCTGAGTGGGTTCAAACCACCAACCTTTTGGCTAAGAGTGGAGCACTTAACCATTTGTGCAACCCAGGGACTCCTGAGTGTTGTACCTATGGGCAATTTAAGGGATTTTCAAGGGTCATTTGAACTTAGCATATTTCTCACCTTTCACTCTGACCTTAAGATAACCCCTGTGGAAGATGGAATGTTAGGGTAACTCCATTAGACTGTACTTTTCAAAGGATGAGCAATGAGGCTGAGGAGGTGGACAGGAGTTAGAGCATAAGGGCTAACAAGTCTTGGGAGGAGTTTAGACTTTATCTGGAGGGAAACAGAGAGCCATTAAATGGTTTAAAGCATGATGCTATGTAATGTGATCAGATTTCTGACAACTAATAGCTGAAAATGGCCACTACTTACTTAGCTCCTATTATGTGCAATCTACTTCCATAGAGATACTGCCTTGGAAACCCAAGGACGGGTTACCAGGAGTGGAATCGACTTGTTTAGTTTTTTGTTTTGTTTTGTTTTAGTTTTATGTGCCGGGGAGGAGCCCTGGTGGTGCAGTGGTTAAGCAATTGGTTGCTAACCGAAAACTGGGAAATGCAGTCTTTAACTAGATAGCACATGTGCCTAGTCAAAACCTTCTAACACACTCTAACACATGGCCTGATAAATTTTAAAGGGTTGGATAATGAATATTGTAGGCTTTGCAGACCGTATAACTTCTGTAGCACTGTCTGCCCTGCCACCACAGGGTGAAAGCAGTCATGGACAATAAACAATTGAACATGCCTGTGTTCTGATAAAGATTTATTAATGGACACTGAAATCTGAATTTCATATAATTTCCTTGAGTCATAAAGTTTGTAGTAGTAGTATTTTGATTTTTTTTCAACTATTTAAAAATGTATTAATCATGCTTAGCTCATAGCTAGTACAAAACAAAAACAAATAAAAAAAAGGGCAACAGGCCTGATTTGGTCTATAGGCTCTAATTTGCCAAACTCTTCTATAGAAGACCAGGCAGGACTGGGCATTATATCACGCTGTTGTATATAGGGCTTCTAAAAGTCAGAGCTGACTCGACAGTACCTAGCAATAATAACAGCTATAGAAGAAGGGGAAGGAGCTCTGGTCATGTAGTGGATAAGGCATTTGGCTAACCAGAAGGTCAGTGGTTCAAACCCACCAGCTGCTCCTTGGAAGGAAGATGGGGCAAATTATTTCCATAAAGATTTACAGCCTTGGAAACCCAAATGGGGGTTGCTATGAGTTGGAATTGGCTTGATGGCAGTGAGTTTGTTTTTTTTGTTTGTTTGTTTGTTTGTTTGTTTGTTTCTTGATAGAAGGAGAGAATGAAGTTTAGAAGACAGTCAGCAACTTCTGCTACAATAACTAGTATAAGGCAAGGCCACATGGAACCCCAGCTCCCCAGAAATTAAAGCTCTGGGCTATGAAGATTCAGCCAAAGAATGAGGCTCTTTGGAGGTGGGTCAGACTTCAGCTGGCAGAGAGGGTGGGGAAAGATTATCTGGGCTGAGGGCACAGTGATAAACAAAAACAGGGAGGCCAGAGAGTGTGTGCAAAGTCTGGGTGCAGAGAAGTCTAGTATGGTGGAGCCATCCAGTAGTTTGAGGGATGAGGAGGGAGCCAACAGCTGAACGATGGTAGGACTTACCCAAATCTAACTGGCTGCAGACTTTTCATTCTGGGGGCAGTGTTGGTTCAGTGGTAGAACTCTCGCCTTCCATGTGTGAGACCTGGGTTCGATTCCCAGCCAATGCACCTCGTGCATAGCTACCACTCATCTGTCAGTGGAGGCTTGCATATTGCTATGATGCTGAACTGGTTTCAGTGGAACTTCTAGACTAAGATGGACCAGCAAGAAAGGCCTGGCTCCATACATCACAATGGTCCAGACCCATTGTGCATGTGAGTTGGGGGCCAACTTGATGGCTGCTAAAAACTAGAATAGGTGATGAGGGATGGTGATCAGAGTTGTGCTCCATGGAATTAATTTTTATTCATTCTATATGGCTTCCTTTCTCCAAGAAACCGGTCCTAATCCCCCTAGTCAAAACCTATCTTTTTCTCTCCTGAGTCTTTTATGCTTTGCTTGTAACAGAGAACCCCCTGGGCCTTAGATTGAATACTTTCTCACTTTCTATGTGCCAGGACTTGAGGCTCTTGGAGGGAAGAGGAGGCAAGGTTCCCTCCCTCACTGTGAGCAGCATGAAGTCCCGAGGGAAAAAGTACCATATTTGCCAACATGTGAGACATATCCCATGCCCATTTAAAACATACACATGCTGTATCTATACTTATTTCATATATTTACATCTAATCCATGTCTGTATCCACATCTACATCTGCATCTATATAAATAGATCCATCAATTGTCCAATACCCAAAACATCAGCTTTAAGTCTAGAAGCTTTAATACCGAAAAGGTAAAATATAAGGATGAATAAAATCGCCCCTAGTGACAGAGCATGGAAACAGAAAATATTACAGCAGAGATAATGATTTCACTTCCTATTGACATGGGAGCTCTGGTAGCATAGTGCCTAAGGCATTTGACTGCTAACCAGAAGGCTGGCGGTTCAAATCCACCAGCCACTCCTCGGAAAGAAGATGGGGCAATCTACTTCCGTAGTGATACTGCCTCGGAAATCCAAGGAGGGGTCGCTATGAGTTGGGTCCAACTCGACGACACATAACAACAACATTGACATCTTGGAGCTCTGGTGGTGTAGTGCCTAAGGCACTTAACTGCTAACCAGAAGGCCAGTGGTTCAAACCCACCAGTCACTACTCGGAAGGAAGGTTGGGCAATCTACTTCTGTAGTGATACTGCCTCGGAAACCCAAGGAAGGGTCACTATGAGTTGGAGATGGCTTGACAGCACATAACAATTACAGTGACATCTTATTGGTGGTTTACTTAATGAAAATACTTTGGTATATACTATTTGGTTTATCTGAACAAACCAAAATATTTTCTCCTAGAAAAGTACTTTGAAATAAATTTCAGTATAATTATAATAAAAAAAATAATTTTAAAAAATATTTCTTTGTAAAATTGGGGAGTGTCATGTATATCAAGGTGCTCTGGTGGCTCTGGTGGCCTTGGGCATTTGACTGCTAACCAGAAGTTTGGCAGTTCAAATCCACCAGCCACTCAGTGGAAAGAAGACTGGGCAATCTACTTCCATAAAGATTTACCACCTCGGAAACCCAATGGGGGTCGCTATGAGTCAGAATCTGAGGGTCATATAGGTCAGCTAATATGAGAACTATTTGGTAAATGGTTGATGAATTGAAGTGCATTGAAGCAACACCTGCTAAATCCAAGTGAGCAACCAGGTAGAGATTCTGAAACAAGAGTGTGCTCTCTGACAGCTGATGTGGTCCAAGAGGGCTTCACAGAGGAGGTGGATAGAGTTAGGTCTTTGTAGAGGATACTCTGGTATTGTTTGCTTAGCACTTTCCTTTCCCATGGACATTGCCCTTCCTCCATGCCAACCTCATGGTTGCCAAGTATAGGCATTCCACATCCACGGTGTCCCAGGCACTAAACTAGGCATTCAATAGAGACAAAGATAAATAAGATATGATGGTACCCTCCATGGTTCCTAAACCACACCACACTCCCTCAAAAAAGTTGGCAGCTAGAAATCTCTGGGAGCTGAGAGTCTTATTTGTACTGTGCAAACTACCCCTTAGCTGGGAGTTTGAGGACCCATGGAAGAAATATTTAGAAGGTATGTGACCTAAGGCAAAATTTCCCATGGAAACTGCCATTTTTTGACACAACCCTGACCACTACCTGCACTTCAACATATAATTGGTTCAGGGATGCACATGGCCCAGGCCTGAGCAATTGGAGTCCTTCCCTGGGATTCTATAAACTGGAGCTGGAAAATTAGGGCAGTCTATCTATGGTGATAGCAATTGTGAGTTAGAAAGTGAAGGAGCTCTCAGCAGCATTGTTTCCTGCCAGGAATTAGAAGTCCATATATGGTAAGAGACAATGAAATGACCGGGGATGGCAGCAGAGGTGATAGGCAGAGAGAAAGTACTTCAGTAGAGTGGGGACTGGGGGCTCTGACTCCAATTGTTCTCTAGGCTGGAGTCCCTGGGTGGTGCGAATAAATGGTTAATGTGTACATCTGCTAACAGAAAGGTTGGGGGTTTAAGTCCACCCAGAAGGACCTCATAAAAAAGGCCTGATGATCTACTTCCAAAAAACCAGCCACTGAAAACCCTACGGAGCACAGTTCTACTCTGACACACATGGGGGGTTGCCATGAGTCAGAACTGACTTGACAGTAACTGATTTTGATTCTCTAGGCCCAGCTGCACCTTCACTCTTCCCAGGGGATCTTTGTTCAAAATTACCCTCAATTATGTGCGAGATCTTCCTTTTGACTAAGCTAATTTGGGCACTTGACTACTAACCAGAAGGCTGATGGTTCAAACCCACCAGCCACTCCTCAGAAGGAAGGTTGGGCAATCTACTTCGTAGTGATACCACCTTGGAAACCCAAGGAGGGGTCACTATGAGTCAGGTCTGACTCGATGGCACATAACAACAACAACAATTTGAGTAGCTATGCCTAGTGCCTAAGGCATTTGACTGCTAACCAGAAGGCTGGTGGTTCAAACCTACCAGCCACTCCTTGGAAGAAAGATTGGGCAATCTACTTCCACAGAGATACCACCTTGGAAACCCAAGGAGGGGTCGCTAGGAGTCTGAACCTACTTGACAGCAGTGAGTGTTTTATTTTGTTTTGTTTTTTGGTCTGGAAGCCATGTGCTTGTCTCAGACCTCCCTTTAGGAGAGTACTTTTGTTTAGATATTCACCCCTAGCACTTACCAGTTTCAAGATCTGTGTTTGCTTTTTATTTTTAAAATATTTATTGGGGGGATGGTAGAATATATGTTTTTGTGTATAATTAAATGGCAAATTTTGTGATATATATATATATATATATATATATTTCCCCTCACAATAAAAAAAAAGCTTTAAGATAAATATCCTAGGCATTAGTGGACTGAAGTGGATGTTGTTGGTTCAGACAATCGTGTGATCTACTATGCTGGGAACAACAAATTGAAGAGGAATGGGATCACATTCATCATCAAAGAGAACATTTCAAGATCTATCCTGAAATACAATGCCATCACTGAGAGGATAATATCCATATACCTGCAAGGAAGCCAGTTAATACAGCAATTATTCAAATTTACGCACCAATCACTAATGCCAAAGATGAAGGAATTGAAGATTTTTACCAACTTCTGTAGTCTGAAATTGATCAAACATGCAATCAAGATAATGAATAATTACTGGTAACTGGAATGCAAAACTTGGAAACAGAAAGATTGGCAGTTGGAAAATATCGCCTTGGTGATAGAAATGATGCTGGAGATCACATGATAGAATTTTGTAAGACCAATGATTTATGCATTGCAAATGCAACATAAATGGCAGCTATACACATGGACCTTGCCAGATGGAATACACTAGAATCAAATTGACTACATCTGTGGAAAGAAACCATGGAGAAGCTTAATATTATTAGTAAGAACAAAGCCAGGGACAGACTGAGAACAGACCATTAATTGCTCATATGTAAGTTCAAGTTGAAGCTGAAGAAAATTAAAACAAGTCTATGAGAGCCAAAGTATGACCTTAAGTATAGCTCACCTAAATTTACAGATTTGACACATTGAACACTTATGGCTGAAGAGCAGATGAGCTGTGAGATGATATCAAGAACAACATACACAAAGGAAGTAAAAGGTCATTAAAAAAAACAGGAAAAAAATAAAAGATCAAAATGGATGTCAGAAGACACTGTGAAACTTGCTCTTGAACAGAGAGTCACTAAAGCAAATGAAGAAATGATGAAGAGCTGAACAGAAGATTTCAAAGGGCAGCTGGAGAAGACAAAGTATTATAATGAAATGTGCAATGACCTGGAGTTAGGAAACCAAAAGGGAAGCACACCCTCAGAATTTCTCAAGATGAGAAAAATAAAGAAAATACATTCGAGCCTTGAGCTGCAATGAAGGATTCTATGGGCAAAATAGTGAATGACACAGGAAGAATCAAAAGAAGATGGAAGGAATGCACAGAGTCATCATACCAAAAAAGAAATGGTTGACATTCAACCAATTCAGGAGGTAGCATATGATCAAGAAGGGATGGTATTGAAGGAGAAGTCCAAGCTGTACTGAAGATACTAGGGAAAACAAGCCTCTAGGAATTGCTGGAATACCAATTAGATGTTCCAACCAACTGATGCAATGCTGGAAGCGCTCACTCCTTGTAAAAAGGGTGTGAAGGCAGCTTCATCCAACCTCCTCTAACTTCACGAGGGAGATGGAAGATCCAGAACAACATCAACAGCCCAAGGCTGATTCCTATGAGGTGGTGGTCAGACATGCCTCCCCCTTCAAACCTTTTTCCAATTCAGACACCAACCTTTCTTCCCACAGCATTCTCCACTTCTCTACTGGGTTGGACAATTCGCTGCAGTGGCCACACAGAACTCACACACAATACTCACAATTATGGGGTTTATTAGGGAAACAATAGGTTATAATTCTGGTTCAAGAATATTCAGCATACAATTCTTCAATCAGGAAGCCTCCCTTCAATCATGCCCACAAGCACACCTCTCTTTGGCCCTCGCCTCTCAGCCTGGCCTCTGCCCTGCATGGGCAAATGTTACAAAGCTCTTTTAGCTCTGCCAATAGGTACCCAGAAAGGCATT